AGAGAGAGAGAGAGAGAGAGAGAGAGAGAGAGAGAGAGAGAGAGAGACGATACGACTACAGTGTGGCGCATGTGTTGTCAATATACGGGATTGATGAGCTTCTCCACCGTCGCCACGTACTGGTCAACCGATATATTGCACACTTCTGTGGTGTTTTCCTTGCTTGACATGTGAAACATTCATAATCGATGACACATCTTSTGTATTGGGTAGTCGTGACATTAAACACAACTGTCCTGTTTGTGTAGTTGTGACAATTGTGTACCACAATAATCGAATTGCTGCTTCGAATAAGTTCGGATTTCTTGGAACATTTATAAAAAGAAAAACATTTTTCTGTTGTCATTGAAAGGAACTCTAATAAAAAATATTTAACAACACACGCACACACACTGTATACTTTGAGCAGTAGCAAACTTGAACAAGTATTCCACATCATCAACATGAAAGCCAAAAAGTCATGACCTCCAACCAAAAGCAGAATTGCAACTCGAATCACCCCTGATGAGAGTACAGCAACGCGTTATCTGTCATCGTCTGTCGTCCCTTCGGCTCTCGTGAATTTTCACCTCTAATGCAAAAAAAAACAAAGTTAAGCTCTCGTTATCTCTCATGGTTTGTCGTCCCTTGGGGCCCCCACATTTATGCCTGGGGTTGAAGGGGCTCATTGTTGGCTGTAGCCTCCCAGAGAGAGAGAGAGAGAGCATGTACACCGTTGTCGAGCACTCGAACACCTAAAATATTGCACATACTCAGTAAATGCGTTGTGCAGAAGTAATCATGATATGCATAGCCTGTGCATCGAACAATTGCATTCAACTCTGTCCACTACCAATGTCTGTATCACCGCTGTCCACCATGGTCTCTGGTGCGCAGTCAAGCCATGTGTGAGCACGAAGTATTTCCTCTCCTGTTGATAGTGCCGGGTGCAATGTAGCACTAGAACCACTGGCTACAGCCCCGTGCAGGAGGCAACTAAGGTCTAGGCCCCACGTAAGTGATGTTGCGAGGACAGCCTCTCTGTTGACCAAGACAAACCATGACTTCCCCATACGTGACCATCTTTTTCCGTTCGMGCATGATCTCATAATGCCCGTCAGTGATGCATACTGGAG